CATACTAGTATAACATGAGAGTAGAGGGAAGTGCAGCTAGATATGCAGGTCATATGCTATAGTAATGAATGAAATGAATGCAAACCGTTAACAGCATATTTATATGCTGCAAACTGCATGATGGCATGTTTTCGTTTGCAATGCATTGACACGAAAAAAACAGTTCTTTGAATACTTTTTGTCGTAACAGCATATGGATATGATTATTATTATCATCATATGTGTATTGTCTGCCATGTTTAGATCCCAGTGTGGGTCTGTACTAACGTGAACACAACTGTTGTAATACTTCTCCAAACATGAAACATTAAACATTTCGGCAAGATCCCGTAATGTGAACGTAGTAATTGAAATAATGATTATTTTTAAATATTTGCAAACAAACATTACATTTAATTAGAATTTATTCTTGTACTTAAGTTTTATTATATGATGTATAATTTGTAAAATTATTAGATCGCAGTGGTTTTATACATGTGTAAATTTACGATTCTAAAAATAGGTCAGTCAGGCCATGAAAAAAAAAAAATATGGTTTTGTCATTTTTTGTCTGTGATAATTAGTCCGGTACAGAAAGTCAAGATGAGACCATCAGATTTAAACATGTAATGAATGTATGTAATTTTAACTGCAGACATATTTGGTGGGTAAATTGAGGAGTATGTTATCAGAAACACGTATATTAGTTTCTTTGGCTTGAGCTTATAATAACTTTGGTTGTTTTACCTGGTAAGCTTGATGACCATGGTTGTTTTCATAAAGAGCCCCTAGCTAGGTTGATTAATTTACTGGGCCCTCTAGGCTATACTAGTATTTACAACCTACTGGGTTGATAGTTTATGCATTCTTAAAATTAAATCCAAACTAAATTAAAAACGATGACAGACACTTGACATAAGAATATTTTTTAAATAAACTGTTGAATTAACAAACATAATTATGTCAGTGTTATTTATTTGCCTCTATAGCTCATAGTAATATGAGGTTATTAAGAGGATACTTCAAAGTATGCACGAAAGCATTGACTGACACGCAGCAGAGGTTGATGCGATGGCGTACTGTCTGAGTGCATACTTTGAGGTATTCTCATAATAGCCTTATCAATATACATCTTTTGCTTCCAAGGATACATGGGATGCCGAAATCCAAAAAGTTTAGAACAGATTCAGCGAACTTCTTTGTGTGGAGTCCGGTCAAACCTGGTGGCAGCAATGTTTGTTTTTATTATTAGAGGATTCGTAATTATTCCATATTTGGAATTTCCATTTCCTAATATGGTAGGATGAAAATACCTTGGTGACAGATGTATAATAATATCATTACGACAGTATTGGAGATGAGTCCATGCAAACACTTGGCAACAAACAAGCTACTCTGATTAGTCTGACTGTTTGGTGCAAAGCCAATCTGATATTAAATCCGATATTGTGTATTTTTCTACATGATTCAAACAACACAACTCTTAATCCTGTAAATTGGTAAGTATGGGTAACAATAAAAATGAATAGTTTAATCATGAAAATGAAGATACAATATCCCATATACCCATCTGACTTTTAAAAACTATTATACATTCAGTATATCGTATTACTACCTATCAGATTTATTGCCAGAAGGTAATTAAAAATAAGCTGATTACCCCCCTCCCCCTCCCTCCCCCCATCATCGCTACTTGAGCTTCATATAACATATAACAATCTTGTGATTATAATTTACTGGAATTTTGAATTCATGTAATGTTTCTTCTTTTTCCTGCAGATCAGCACTGATGGTAACCTTTGACCTACCAAATCTTTGAATTATTATAAAGTTATAGGTTCATACATCAATTAGAGTTTGTAATTATGCTTCAAATGCCAGCAAGGAATATAATTATACTAAACGTGTTTTGGTACAAGACTATTGTCATCACACAGCATACAAGTCACGTAACACTCTCTCTTCCTCTCTCTCTCTCTCTCAACAAGATCTCAGCTACCATTGTTGTACTATGTACTATAATTACAAACCAATAAGCTGCTCACTTTGTGAGAAATGAGATAATCATATATTCCTGTAATCCCATGAGTTTTGCTTTATTGACAATTATAAATAAATATAATCTATTTACAATGAAGTAACCAATTTATGTTGAATGAAATTACAGTTTCATCTGTTTAGTATTGATGAACTTTAAGAACATACCGGTATACTGGTAATAGAATTGATAAGATCTCCATAATGACACATCTGTCATGAATTGATATTCACTAAACTTACTATGAAATCTTTAATTGTGTTATGTCTGCGAGTCACGAGACGAATACTGATATATTCCTACATATACGCACTATTAACTCAGCCATGGCCGGTCCCAAGCCCGGATTAGAAAGGAGAAGGGTTGGGCGTGGGGTTAGCAACTCCACTCCATAAAACCTTCTATGCTACAGAAACGACAGCAAGGAATTCCTTGTTTCGCCTCAAGCGCCAGACGGCCTGGATAACGAATGAGTGAATGATACATACTATTATATACTATACCAAGATTTTTTAATTATTCTGATTTTGGTGAAAAATAAAGTTGTATAAATTAAATGGAATAAAAGAGTTTGAATATGTTATTTTATTATTGTTTTGTGTAAAAAAATTATTTCGTCGGCTTAAAACAAAGTTCAAATTCAAGTATCAAAGTTCGAAACGTGTAACTGGCAATTAAATGCTTCTTTATATGTCCTAAAACTTTGAACAAAAATTTGACCAATTAATGTTACTAACCTCTCGTTTTTTAATGTCATTTTGACTCTTGGGACTATTGGAACTCTTATCTTTATTATGTCATGCATGGCAGGATATCGTCATGGACTTTTATTACAACAAAGAAGTATCACTCTATCAATTATGCATTAATTATCTAATTTGATGATGCATTACATTGTTTAATGGCTGATGTTATTTTTATGAACTCCCCAAGTGTTTGCAAATAATATTTCAAACAAAAATTCAATATTACTTGACCACGTTGGTGGCTTCATTTGGACGCACAGATATCATTGACATGCACAGAGGACAAACTGAATAGGTGATTTTCCGTTCAACTGCGAGATCTCGCAAGTTGCGTGAAAGACACATACCGACCGTCTGCCGCATAAATCAAACGATTCTATTTTGAACTCGAATTTCTTTATTTCGCAGCTCAAAGGGCGATCTTTGACAGAGGGATCTTGCAGTGAACAGAAAATGGTCTATTGTTTGCATAATTACCAATAAATAGACTATAAGGGTTTGACTTAAACTCCGCACAAGTCATGCCACTTACATTACCCACAATGCTTTGTGCGATATCGAACTCAGCACAACTCATGCCACTTACATTACCCACAATGCTTTGTGCCATATCTACAAGTTCACGATGTCTTAGTTACATTATTGTTTTTCATTGAACTATAGCCTGATTTACAACAGAACTAACCATGGGGAATGACATACATATTATTTGCTGGTAGTTTAAATATATACTCCATCACCTCACATATCATAACCTTCACAAATATTAGTGGTCACCAACTTAACAGTCTCCACATAGATTAGCAACAAGATCACTTCAACCTTCACCACCTTCTTTCATGTATCAAGATGATTGATGCAAAGATGATTGAAACATCTGTCCATGTGAACTTCTTTCATTTCAGTTCTTGGGGTCCAAAACGTTTCAACCAAAGAATGAAAAAATTAAACCAAATCTTCAGAAATTATGATAAATATGACTAAATATGGTAATATATACATGTATTATTTCACCTGAAATTATTAGATTACTGAACAAAAACCTACAAATGAGAGTTCTGGGCTAAAGGGCAATGTGTAATGATATGTCTAAATAAACTCATAAATATTTATAACATTTTGCATAGTCAATTAGCTGATATTCATAATTAAAATATAATGAATTATGTAATTATATTTTGATGGAATCACATCATCAGGTTTATGAGACTATTAATTAAATACCATAATATAATTATAATTAGTGTGTATTACATATATGGGTATTGCACATTTTATGCCAGTATGGAGTATACCATCAAGGTTTGGACACGTTTGAATATCAGTTTTTGCCAGCTTTTTTTTTCTTTTTTTTCAGTTTTGAGCTATAGTCTCAATGGAAAAAATTGAATATTATTCAATATTAAATAATTTAGAGTTTATAAATAAAATACAAGTTTGACTCCAGTCTTGCATTTTCTCTGTGACTTTCGTTTTGGGGTGTTAATTCAAATTTACAGTCTTGCTAGTACATGTATTGCATTTGACCTGACTAGGACACAGAGGGATCCATAAAATAATAATGATAACTTTATGAACTTTGTGTCGCGTAACTAGTATTATGTAACATCTCACATAATTTATGATTTATTTAAAAATAAAGGAAATTTTTTTTTGTTACCCCTATAATTGACCTCCATGTGATGTATGTACGTGATCTCAATGTGTAATCAGTTACACATTAGTAAATAATCATAATATTGCTGATTTCATTTCAGTAGGAAAACACAGTTTCTAGCTTATTTTTTCGACGTGTGATATGTATAAAATAAGTTCTAATAAATCCATAGTGCTATGAGAACACAACAAAGTTCCAAGACTACAAATTATTTGCACACGACTGGCCTATATAAAAGATGCACTAAAAAGATATATCGCCTTGTACCCAGTGTCCACTTAAGTAGAAATCTAATTAAAAAACAATTAATTTCTATTTCGGCAATAGTTTAGGAGTATTAGGTGTACTGTTGTGATTTACTGAGGAACATCCATTGTAGGGGCTTCTGTGGACGATTGCGTTTCTTGAAGTCGCCTGTGAAGGGGTCAGCAGAGGTTTTGAGTCAAAACATGCATCTCCAATTGGTATTATGCTTCCAGAATAACTAAGTTCACAGTATTACAAAGTGGACTCGCCACGCTTTGTTCCTTAGTAGTTGTCTATGTTTTGTGCGTAGGATGGTTGCCCGTTGGTTCTTGATGGCCCCGATGAAGTGGGCGTGGTCGTATGTTGTGTCTCGTCCCAAAGACGAGAAACTGACTGGGTGTGTACTGAACGCCACTTAAATCACACCGTATCTGTATTTTGAATAAGGTACTTCTACTATCCCTTCACAATAGCTCGGTGGTTCGTTGTTGTTTAAACTGCCGTGTACAAACACCGGAGTGCCGGAAATTTGATACGGCTTTATGCGAGACGAATTCTGTACCATTTGACAGCATGTTCGAGATTACTTTGCAGTTTATTTCGCAAATGGAAGGATAGAAATTTTCAAAAAAAATACATAGCATGTTAAGTAACATTACATAAAGTTCACTGTCCAATTCACTTATATATGTTATCTATATTTGTTCGCTTAAATTATAATGGTGTATACGTGTGTTGTATACATATTTTAAAATCTCGTGTAGTAATTTCCATTTTATCAGAAATTTGTGGGGTCACGAATTTGATATTCTGTTTATCTTATGTACCAAAACAAACATCTAAATCCTAATTTCTGATTGTATATCCATGAAAACTTGGACACAGTTTTACTGACAGTTTTACAATTTTGTGATTGTTGAAACTCACTCTCGTTGACTTTCTGAAACTTTGGAGACTGTGAACCGTTTTAACTCAATACTTTTCCAGTCACGATTATGATGCAACATGTTGTCTTTCTAATTTTGGGGAGACTGGGCATAATTTTACATTGCCTCCAGATCTTGGTCAACATTTTTTGGGGAAAAAATGATTAAAAAAATATCATCACTAATAATTATAACAGAAACAAACTTTATAGAAGACTTCTATGTCTTATATGTGGTAAGAAATGTCGAGTTTTGTGATCAAAGGGTTAATAACCGATGACGTCAAAATGCGATATGTTTCCAAGGAATAATCGAATTACTTTGATCATTATTACATAGTCGTTATTACATGGCTTTATTAAATTGAACCGTCATGATTCGTGGGGTAAACAGGTAGATCGTGAGTGTCCTAACCAAACGTGCTTTCATCGAAAAACGTCCAGTGGTTTGCCATACTAAGACGACAGCCGGTCTGTTATGCGCGAAAGAAATCAGCAGGTGGATACGTGTAGTGTAAGCAACATCGATCTGTTCTCTGTATGCCTACGGTTAGAGTTTTGAAAATCGTAGACATATAAGATTTTATTATTAGATTATTTCCACTATGTGTATTATATAAAACCGTCATTGCCAGCAGTCATGTCGATGATTAGACGTGCGTTCTTGGAATTAGTTAATTATTAATTTAACAAATAGTGTCATCAACACAGTGTATTATTGGTTGTCCTACGTCCCGGTTTGTAAAACGAGACAATACATATTGCAATTTGTCAACTTGGACGTAGCCACATGATAATAAAGTACAATGCCTAGTTATTCGTTAGGTTTTCGATGATAGCTAAATGTGTTAAATATAGAAGTTAACAATGAAATGTATTGCTTTCTTGATACTTTAAACTAGTGACATTTGTACGAACATATCTGCAACATCAAATCCGGTAATTTATTAAAAATCGAATCCAGTGAATATTTCCCTTTCTACAGTAGTATTCTATATTATTGGGAGATTAGGATTGTTTCGTTGACGGGATCTATTAGAGGCAGATTTAAACTCATAACGGACACTTTCCGAAGTGTTTACCTTAGTATGCATAATCAATTTAATAGTTGCAGAGTGGTTCACGGTTGGTTGAAAAAGAACAACTGAGATGCCATGACATAAATATATCAAGTATTACGGAACCACTTGTTTGACACGGCGGTCTGGGTAGAAGATGATTTTCCGTTCACTGCGAGATCTCGCGCATTGCCGCAAAAAAAATGATTTTGAACTTAAAGGGCAGTAGTCGTCGTGCCGCGTCCTGTTCGATATGGGACTCATACCGACGTATACAACGCGTGTAAAATACATTGTTTATTTACATGAAATTCGAACACGCACTGCGCGACGACGACCGCGCTTTGAATTTCTTTTTCTATAGATCTTTCAGTGGGCAATATGGCATTAGATTTGACGCATAATGCGGCATCTCGCAGTGAACAGGGAAATTGTATATTACCCCTCCCCCTCAAGTGTGGATATAAACATTATTTATAAAAAAAAAAATAGCTATAACATAAATGGGCTTCAGTCGCCGAGAAGCGCACGTCCGAATTTCATGAAACAAACAACGTATTTTACACGCGCTCAGACTTTTCGATGACACGTCGGGGCGACCGTGGTGCTTTAAAACCACTGCAAATGTCATTACGATGTACAGAGAAGCCGGCTAATACTCGAAATATCTGCACGAATAAGTACTTTCTGATATCACGAAGTGTGTATAAATTAAAATAACTGCAGTAAATAAATGTTCAACAGATGCAAATTACTCGGTGTTGTAAACATAATTCAGCCTGCCCGTTTTATCATCACACTTGGCGGATGCATTTCGTAGTATGTGCGCGCAATATTTTGTTTTAGTTCCTTACTACCGCCAGTACTACCGACAGAAATCTTATAGATACTCTAATAATTATATCGAAGGGATATTGAAATGCATTTACATGTAATTGTTAGGAAGATAATATGGATTTATCATGAATATTAAACGCAAGTTTGTATTTAATGTATAGTTAATGTAGCGATTGTGTTCATTCTTACCTTCGACGTTGTTTTGGTCATTCGTGGTGAATTCAGTGTGTTCCGTCACAACAACTGTCACTTCCCCTCCTGCATTGCTCTCCCCTTCTATTGTTCCCGCGTCCCCGTCTGTTCCTGTACTACTCGCACCTTCCATTGTTTCCGTACTTTCCACGGTTTTCGTTGTCACAATTTCCGAAGTGTTTACAGTTTCTCCATCCGCAGTCTCCGTCACAGTTTTCTTCGTCGTAGTCGTCGTCACGGTTACGGTCTCCATCGCACCGTTCTCAACCACTTGCTGGCTTGATTGCTCCGTCACGCTGCCGTCCATGTCGCCATTTGTTGTAATAATATCGGGTATAATAACGGGTTTCGCCGTCTCCGCCATACTTTCTTTTCAATTGTAATCACAATAACACTGCGTACGTCAGAAATAGATTTCTGCAGAATGATAAGATGGGAGCTAGTTAGCATAATTACCTAATTAACATAAATTATGTATCTGGGTAGCTGAAATACTAACCAGCGTTTGTTCCGATGACTCTTGGGAGCAAAAATATTATTCACCGCATGGTATATCGGTGTTATAAATAAATATGTTGATCAATTTACCGGCAAATTAATTTCGTTATTTTACTGTTTATTTTCAATCTATATATTAATTATAATTTTATCAATATTTCTCACTTTTTATATTGAATATGTATATGTTAAGCTCGCTCGACTATTTTAATTTTATAATGTTGAAGTGAGTGAATGAAAATTCCGAAATATGATAAATTAAAACAATATTTATTTTTAACCGTGGTAGAGCAGTGGGCAAATAAAAATAAGTGTTGATAAATTATTATCAGTCACGCGTATCTGACACCGGTAATGATGACATCATAATATTCATTTTAAAATGGCTTAGCAAAAACTTATATTTAAATGACAGAGTCAGTCTCTAAGGTATTTGAGGCGTCTATGCATACAGTGTTATTGTCACGCTGTTGTAAACCGGAGTTCATTATCGCATTGTATATGATGTGACTGCATTGAACTCTGCAGAGTTCACGGTGGTACGACATTTCCTAATTTAATATTCAAGATGCATTGAATCCAAAATGGGTTAGAGCGCCCGAGTCTTGCTGTTGTGGGTGTATGGTCATACATTTAATGCGAGTTTGACCGAACTAATAAATAGCACAGGAAAATATACGCATTTATAGACAGCCATCATCGGTTATTGGTGCTGGCTTGTATGCACACATATTCAAGTTGACAGTGGGTACACATAATAGGCGCAGTCAGAGCCGATTATCTCACCACGGTGCGTTCTGATCATCTTTGTGCATCTAAGTCCAAAAAGAAGTACGTACTTTGGCACACCCAACATTATTCATTTAGCGTGAAACTTGAACCCAATTATTCTGAACAATGTACCTGCATTATTTACTTGGTTGTCGAAGGATTCTGCGATGTTGAAATGAATTTAAAATTCATTGATCTAGCTCCCCGACCAGAGAAAATAACATAACCGTTGCACGAAATAAATAAACGTAAAGAAAACAGAAAATGAATATCCACTGCGCATGACATAGTATATGTAACACTTGTGAGAAGCAATGTTCTCTGTTTTCCAATTTTTCGATCAAAGCCCTCACCGCGCTCTCCGTCTTCCTGCGTACGTCAGGCTGATGAGTATAGCACTCGGTTAAATATCCCTAACAGCATGTACTGTATTAAGACCAATGTGTTGTCAGTTACAATTTAAACGAAGTATCTCGTTGCGCCCTTGTCAATGCGCTTATGCGGGTGGTGATGGGTTACTGGTAGGTAATATCGATATCATTAGAATAAGACAACGTATATTGTCAGTGAATTTCCTGAGTCTGACGAATTGTGTTACGTCTGTCTTGTATTGGCGAATAGATAACTAGAATAGAATATATGTGGTTATGGCGTGGTACATGCGATCAATGTACTATCACGGGGAAAATCTTTCTTCTCTCTGGGTTCTCCACACTTGTCAGGGGGGAATCTCGTCTCGTCTCTCTATCGCGTCCCCTTGAGGTACGGGATCGGGAAAGTCACTTTAACTTTACAGTCAAATAAGGCACACACAACGAAATACGTTTCAGCTCTCGTCTTAGTCGGTCAATCGAGCACTCTATCAGACACAGCGCCCTGGGGAAAAAATCCCCAAGACTCTCGCAAGGCTAAACCAAGACTCGCCCAAGACTGGACTGCCTCAAGGCTCGCCCCTGGACTGGACTCTCGACTGCCCAGGACTGCACTCTCTCTACTGCGTCTATCGTGGAGTATTCGCCAAGACCAACTCAAACTCTCTTTATTCATTTTCAAAACTCTAACCAATTACAAAACAGTAAAAAGACTCTAGGGCGTAACCTTCAATCATAAAGCCAATCAAACTAAGTACTGAATACGTCATATCTTTTGATTAATCGTTCACTACATTAATAACTATGAATATAAACTGTCAGGTTGGCGACGATTATCTGGTAATTAGTTCCAAATCACTGAGCCAAGTTCCGTCCAAAACTTCAAATAGACCTAAACGATGACAGACATAACACAGCAATTCAGCTAATAATCAACTAATTAAGTCGGTTAACAGATACGCAAAAACAAATTCATGACAGTACCGACAACTCCGCGTATGCGACAAATTGACCACAAGCTAAGCTATGACAATTCTTAAGAACAGTCAAATCACGGTCACTTGATGGTTATGGTATATTATTATTAAATTGCAGTCAAACAGGTAAAAAAACAAATATAGAACTAAATACAATAAATAAATATACATATAAGGTACTAATACAATGTCAATTTAACCTAAAAAGAAATTAAAATAATACTAACAAAATAAAAAATTAAAAAATACTAACAAACTACTATCTGAAATAAATAGCTAAACTTCTCTTAAAATGATTGAAAGTTATACAAATTAAAACTAAATCATTGAAAAGAGAAAGAGCACGTGGAATAAAAGATGAAATTGAGACGAACATTCCTTTTATGAAAAAGATTGAGGAACGAGACGGTACCTGAAATTAAAGAATTATATTGAGAGATTTATGTAATAACTGTAAATCTAACTCAGTTTAAAAGATAACAAAGCGACGAGTTGTCAGAGGAGTATGTATAACTAACTTCCCTTCAAACACATGAGTTTTATGAACTTTTTTTGAACCTTTTCAATGTTATTAATTCGAAAACGTAGAGGAGGGGACCACACTTAAGAGAAATACTCAAGGTTGTTCGTAACAAGCGATATATACAAAGATCTAATAAGGGATACACTTTCAAAATATTTACATGTAGCATTGTATATGTTTTCTTAAAGTTGTCAAGGTTTACTAGTATAAACACCCGTCCCCGAACTTGTCAAATGACAAACGGTTCGTGATACAATACATATAGTTGCGAGCTTTGACTGGTCTATAGAGGAATGGAATCAACGGGACTCGTTTCTCTGCCAAAACATTGAAATGACCTAGAATGTAGATTTCGTTGCCAGAACACGTGACTCGTTTCTCTGCCAACACACTGAAATGACCTAGAATGTAGATTTCGTTGCCGGAACACGTGGTATTTACCATGACGGTGACCCACTTAAATCATAATTGATCAATATAGTATGTCATATGCACACTAGAATTCCATTGAAACGGAGGGTAGCTCAGAAGCCGGTAGTTGAACCCATGGAGACACGATAAAGAATGTCCGTTTTTGACATTGTGAAATTCTTTCGTTTTAATGCGAAAAAATACGGTATTTTACCAAGTAAAATCATATTAATGTTATTGTTCATACACGAGTTATTGACCATACTACATAGTTTGTAGTTTTATTCAGCTTCTTCCAGTCACAATTCACTGGCAAGATAAATAAAATGCAAAAATATTGATAATATAACGAATTATTTTTTCTCTGTAATATTCTTGTGTAATTGGCAATTAACTACCACTGGGATACATTTCGTATAATTATTCTTAATATATTTCGTAATTTTTAAAATCAGTTGTTTTCAAGTTCCCCCACAACGAAAGAATTTCACATTCACTTTATTTTTTTCAAAATGGAATTATTTTGTCCATGTTTATTTCATTTGTGCACGAAATGTGTGATGATGA